GCTTTTAAAATTAATTGATGTCTAATAATGTTTACTTCACAAAAATAAGTGAAGGTGCTATGTAAAAAGAACTATTGGGAAGCAAAAGAAAAAAATGAACAAACAAAAAATGCCATATAAACCCAAAAAATCAGAGAAAGATTGATTACAGGATAAAAAAATGTAATTTAGGGAATTCCTTGAAAAGTTTTTATAAAGCATAAAGCAAAAATTAAAGAAATGCCAGCTATCAGAAAAATAAAGTATATGAAAAAGAGAAATGGATAATCCAAATTCTACAAAATAGAGGTCTCACAAAGTAGTGTAGATGAAAGAGAAATAAAGCTTCAAGCACATAAGGACAAAATTTTTCAGCATTTGAGTATTTGAGAAAATTTGAGTATTTCTTTTAGATTTGAATATTTCTATCAGAAAGACAATGAGAGTGGGAGGGCACATACAGATTTTGAATTTTCTAGAAGAAGAAGAAGATTTTCCAAGTTTTAATCATGAAATAATCGAAATAAACTAGGTTACTTATAGAATAACAGGACTATTTATCTATAATAATGAGTATTAAAAGACAATTTAACGCCTATTTGAATGGCCAAAGTTTTAAAAAATCTGTCACTATCAAATCCTGCTGAGGATATGCAAAAGAGACTCTCATTCATATTGCTGATGGGAATGCAAAATGGTACATTTACTTTGGAAGACTGTTGGCAGATTCTTATTCAGTTAAACATAGACTTACTGTCTGACCCAACAATCTCATTCTTATTTACTCAAATAAACTGAAAGTTTATGTTCATGGAAAAGCTTGTGCGCAAATGTTTATGGCAGCTTTATTTGTAATTGACAGAACTAGAAACAACCAAGATGTCCCTTGACAGGGTCTGGTTAAACAGTGGACTGAATGTTTGTGTTTTTCTCAAATTCATATACTGACATCCTAATTTCCAACACGATGGTATTAGGTGGGGCCCTTGGGAGGTGTAATCAGAGTTCTTCTGAGAAACAGAACCAATAGTATATACATAGATATAAATATAGATATAGATATACAAAAAGAGACTTATTATGAGAGATTGGCTCACATGATTATGGAGGCTGAGAAGTCCCATGATCTGCCTCTTACGTGATGGAGGTCCGAGAAAACCGAGAGCCTGGGGAGCTAATGCTTTTAGTCCCAGTTAGAGTCCAAAGGTCTAAGAACGAAGAGTACTGATGTCCAAGGCCAGAAGAAGTTTTCCATCCCTGCTCAAGCAGAGAGCAAATTCACCCTTTCTCCACTTTTTTTGCTTTATTCAGGCCCTCAGCGAATTGGATGATGACCACCCAAATTAGTAAGGGCAGATCATCTTTATTCAGTCTACCAGTTCAAATGCTAATCTCTTCCAGAAACACTTTCTTAGACATGCCTAGAAATAATGTTTTACTAGCTATTTGGGTACTCCTTAGCGTAGTCAAGTTCACACATAAAATTGACCAACACAGAAAGTAATTAGGTCATGAGGGTGGAACACTCATAAATGAGACTCGTGCCCTTATAAAAGTGATCCCAGGGTGCTCTTTGACCCACTTTTGTTATCATATGAGGGTACAATAAGAAGACAGCAATCTTCAACCTGGAAGAAGGCTCTCATCAGAACCCAGCCATACTGGCACCTTGATTGTGGACTTCCAGCCTCCCAAACTGAATGAATTAAATTTCCATTGTTTATAAGCCACCTAAGCTATGGTACTTTGTAATAGCAGCCCAAATCGACAAAGATACTGAGTTATATCCATATAGTAGAATGCTATTCGGTGATAAAATTAATAAGCTATTGATTTATTTAACAACATGGATAAACATTAAATACATTGGGCTAAATGAAACATGTCATATCCAAAAGGCTACATATTATATGATCGCATTCATGAGACATTCTGGAAAAGGCAAAACTATAACGACAGAAAACAGATCAATGGTTACCAAAGGTTGAGGGGGAATGAGTGGTTGACTACTAACGGCGAATTTTGATGACGTAACTGTCCCTACCATACTCAGGTGGTGGATTACATGAGTCTACGCATTTGTAAAACCCACATAATTGTGCATCACAAAGAGTGAATTATATGCAAACTAAAAAAAAATTAACCAGAATATCGGGGGATCCTGGGATGGAATGCAGATGATGAAAAATGAACTTAAGTACTACAGA